GAATTTTTATAGGTACATGGAACGTTCGAACAATGTGGGAAACCGGGAAGACCAGTCAAATAGCAATGGAAATGAGGAGATACAACTTGGCAGTACTGGGAATCAGCGAAACCCACTGGACCCAAGCTGGACAGAAAAGGCTAGCTACGGGAGAGATGCTGCTATACTCCGGTCACGAAGAGGAAAATGCTCCACACACTCAGGGAGTTGCTCTAATGCTGTCCAAACTGGCACGAAATGCACTTGTAGGATGGGAATCTCACGGATCCAGAATCATCAAAGCATCATTCAAAATAAAGAAGGAGGGAATTACAATGAATGTTATCCAGTGTTATGCACCCACCAATGATAGCAACGATGACATTAAAGATCAGTTCTACGATAGGCTGCAGTCAATCATAGAGAAATGCCCAAGAAAGGACCTCACCATTCTGATGGGAGATCTAAATGCCAAAGTCGGAATAGACAACACTGGATATGAAGATATTATGGGACGACATGGACTGGGACAGAGAAACGAAAATGGAGAAAGATTTGCAAATTTGTGTGCATTCAACAAATTGGTCATAGGAGGCACAATATTCCCACACAAACGTATACACAAGGCTACATGGATCTCACCGGACCACACTACAGAGAACCAGATAGATCATATTTGCATCAACAAAAAATTCCGAAGGACAATGGAAGATGTGAGAACCAGGAGAGGTGCTGACATAGCTTCAGATCACCACCTAGTTATAGCCAATTTAAAACTGAAGCTAAAAAAGAACTGGACAACTGGACAAACAGCACTACAAAGGTTCAATACAGCCTTCCTTCGAGATACTGACAAACTCAATGAATTCAAGATAGCTCTCAACAACAGGTTCCAAGCCTTACAAGATCTACTGAAAGAAGAAGAAACTACTGTGGAGGACAACTGGAAAGGTATCAAAGAAGCATTAACTTCAATGTGTCAAGAGGTTCTGGGCCTAAAGAAACACCATCATAAGGAGTGGATCTCTATAGAAACTCTGGACAAGATCAAAGAAAGGAAGAACAAGAAGACAGCAATTAACAACAGCCGAACACGAGCAGAAAAAGTCCAAGCACAAGCTGAATACATAGAAGCAAACAAGCAAGTGAAGAAGAGCATTAGAGCCGACAAGAAATACGTGGAAGAACTAGCAATGACGGCGGAAAAAGCTGCAAGAGAAGGAAATATGAAACAGCTTTACGATACAACGAAGAAACTAGCAGGAAAATACAGTAAACCAGAGAGACCGGTCAAAGACAAAGAAGGCAGGCCAATCACTGAAATTCAACAACAGAGGAACAGATGGGTAGAGTACTCCGAGAAACTCCTGAATATGCCCGCTCCAATGAATCCACCGGACATCGAAGCAGCACACACAGATCTTCCTATTGACGTCAACCCACCAACGAAGGAAGAAATCAGAATGGCCGTCAGACAAATCAAGAACGGGAAAGCAGCGGGACCCGACAAAATACCAGCTGAAGTCAGACATCGAAGTAACTACAAGCATGCTTTACCTTCTATTCAAAAAGATTTGGGAGGAGGAACAAGTGCCGATGGACTGGAAAGAAGGGCACCTCGTCAAGATTCCAAAGAAAGGAGATCTGAGCAAATGTGAAAACTACAGAGGCATTACACTACTGTCAATACCAGGGAAGGTCTTTAACAGAGTGTTGCTGAACCGGATGAAAGATGCAGTAGACGCCCAACTTTGAGATCAACAAGCTGGATTCCGTAAGGATCGATCGTGCACAGACCAAACTGCAACACTACGGATCATCGTCGAACAATCAGTTGAGTGGAACTCGTCACTATACATCAACTTCATTGATTATGAAAATGCATTTGACAGTGTAGATAGGAGGACGTTATGGAAACTTCTTCGACACTACGGAGTTCCTGAGAAGATTGTCAACATTATCCGGAACTCATACGACGGACTACAGTGCAAGGTCGTGCATGGACGACAACTGAGGGAAAACACGGAATACAATGGACAGCTCAAAATCAATTAGACGATTTGGACTTCGCAGATGACCTAGCCCTCCTATCACATACACATGAACAGATGCAGATGAAGACAGCCAGTGTAGCAGCAGTCTCTGCATCAGTAGGCCTCAACATACACAAAGGGAAAACCAAGGTCCTCAAATTCAAAGCGGAGAACAGCAATCCAATCACTCTTGATGGCGAAGCTCTGGAAGATGTAGAATCCTTCACATACATGGGAAGCATCACCGATGAACAAGGAGGCTCAGATGCAGACGTAAAGGCGAGGATTGGCAAAGCAAGGACAGCATTCCTACTGTTGAAGAACATATGGAACTCAAAACAACTTTCAACCAATATCAAAGTCACAATCTTCAATACCAACGTCAACACATTTCTACTGCACGGAGCTGAAACTTGGAGAACTACAACAATCATCATGAAGAAGGTGCAAGTATTTATAAATAGTTGTCTACGCAAGATACTCAACAACCATCGGCCGGATACCATCAGTAACAGCTTTCTGTGGGAGAGAACAAATCAGCTTCCAGCTGAAGAAATTAGGAAAAGACGATGGAAATGGATAGGACATACATTACGCAAATCGTCAAACTGCATCACGAGACAAGCCCTAACTCGGAATCCTGAAAGGAAGCGGAAAAGAGGAAGGCCTAAGAACACATTACGTCGGATAATAGAAGCAGATATGAAAAGGATGAATAACAACTGGAAGGAGCTGGAAAGGGTTGCTCAGGACAGGGTTGGATGGCGAATGCTGGTGAGCGGCCTATGCTCCTTCACGAGGAGTAACAGGCGTAAGTAAGTATCCGTGCAGTGTTCGAGTTCTACGGCTTGTAATTAGCTTTGAAAACACCGAATGTATCTTTAAAAAGAACTTTTTTTAAAATAAGCATATGTAGTATAAATAAGAATGAAAACAAAGACACCATTGCGTAATCGATGATTCTTAGCGAAATATTACATAAAATCATTTAATCAGAATTGATGTGTATAAAACCAAAAAATAATATTTGATCTATCATATATTGGGAATCATTTGACTATATAATCATAGAAATAATTTCCAAGTAGAAATATCATATAGATGATCTGGCTAAAAATGACTCAAAGTATTCTCAGGCATTTTTGAAGCATCAATTCATTAGAACCACCTTCTATTAGACTAAATCATGTTGTAAACGAATTACTTCTGGATGCAATTTGAGTGAATTGCTCAGGACAGGGTTGGATGGAGAATGCTGGTGAGAGGCCTATGATTTTTCACGAGGAAGAAAAGGCGTAAGTAAGTAAACAATTTCAGTGAATTGTTGACAAAACTTCTAAGAATTTAGATTTCGAATGAACATTCAATGTTCAACACCATATGCATACAAATAAGACTTCATATCGATCAGAATGCTTTCTTCTCAATAAATTTGAAATAAACGTATCTAAGTATCAACTGATGTATGATCAGTTGTAAATAATTTACAAATAACTTGTTCAAACCATAATTATGTAGGAAATAAGTTGAAACATTTCGTCATAATACCTACGCTACTTACTAAAAATAGGTAGTTAACAATTGTACTTAAAATTCATAGTGACTGATAATACTTTGATCACCCAATTATAATTGATTATCATTGAAGTTTTCTTAACGTTAATTTCCTTCTTAGCAGATAATAAAGTTTGGCTATTTATACAATTATATAAGTCATTGTAGAATATGCTTGATTTTGTAATGAGTATGAACTGGACATTTTCATAAATATTGGTGTCTGTGCAAAAACTTAGTAATATGGCTGCAGATTTCAAAATTAATCCAATAAGTTGTATCAAATTTTCTTTCGAAAGATGATTATGAATCAAACAGAATCAACTATTTGTTTCATGTATAAATGGCTTGAAGACCTAATTATGACTTCATAAATTTCAAGTAGGTTATATTTACTTCAACCTGACTAAGCAGACTGTAATTCTAGCTCAGCAAACAATAGGTATGGATTGGAATTGAGCACATAGATCTTTACTTGACCAATCCGTTAGGATTATATATTACTGAAATAGAAAATAAGCTTAACCCAAATCCAAGAAAAACGATGAAAATCTTGAGACAAAATGAAAATCATCATTTGATAGATTCGAACAATAAACCTTATTCGCGTACCAACATTACACTAACTTGCTATACATATTACGCGTTGGCAGGAAGAACGTTGGGCTCTGGACAGCATTTACATACGCAAAACAACCAATTAAGTGATCAAATTAGAAGGACATATAATGTGTTGCACATTATTTTTTATGCTAAATAATAACATCGCATGTACAAAATAATATAATGGTCACATTTAGGTGGTTTTGTTCTGTAATTTGGATGGTTTGGTCGTGGAAATCTTGTTGTTCATCTGAACAACATCATCGTCAAAAAAAGTCAGGTAGAAGTTTGTGCTAATGATGTTGTTCAGATGAACAATAAAAGCTCCACGAACAAACCATCTAGCTCATAGAACAAAACTCCACCTAAATTATCCACATCAGCTACAAATCTTCTCCATCTCGTAATCGTCACATGAATATGTCATGGATGCGCACTGCTGAAGAGTCCCACAATAGAACGAAACGGTCGTCCAGTGCTTCCAGGTTTTCCATGGTGGTCTAGCTTCAATTGACTCATGATCTCAACTGTTGAAATTACTACAATCTTTACAAAACCCCTTCTGATATATGAATATGTGACTATCAATTATTTCAACCAACGCAAGTGTTTAAAAGCTTAGATTATAAATACTATTATATCAGTCAATCATTTGTAATAAACAATTTCCAGAAGTTTGAATGAAATTTCATCAGTACTAAATTGTTTACTCCTAGAGATAAATTACTCATAAGTAAATATGTGACAAATTAAACCGATGAAAAAGCCTACAAGTTGTCAATATACTACTTATAACTGATTCATAATCAGTAAATACAAGAAACCAAATATCTAATGACAATTATAGTACTACTGAAAATAGTTTTTTTTCAAAAAGAAAAAAGAAGGAAAACAAATCAAAAGTGACTTGTGGAAACTAAAAAAAGAAAGAAAAAGAATTTTGTAATATTACAAATTTCATTATTACCAAATGAATTATATACATAAAACATTTCTTTGAAATGATACATGAATATAGATAGAATTGTCCTTTGAATAATCATTGTAATAGGTAATTCTATGTTCATTTGATATAAAAAAAAGCAAATCTGTACTTGATTTCTTGATGCATGACATTTCAAGTGAAATATAAAGTATCATAATATGTATTCAATTAATGAAACAATTAAGAATTATCTATGTTTCTTACGATAACAACACGAGATGATGACGATGAAACAGAATTAGTTGCTTTTGTAGAGACAGAAGAAGAAGAAGAATAAGAAATAGGATTATTCATTGCATGTTCAATTCTGATAGGTTTAGGTGAATTAGTTTGTTTTGATGAAATTGAAGGAACAGGGCTATGCCTTATATTTTCACTTCTGATAGGTTTAGGTGAATTAGTTTGTTTTGATGAAATTGAAGGAACAGGGCTATGCTTTATATTTTCACTTCTGATAGGTTTAGGTGAATTAGTTTGTTTTGATGAAGTTGAAGGAACAGGGCTATGCTTTATATTTTCACTTCTGATAGGTTTAGGTGAATTAGTTTGTTTTGATGAAATTGAAGGAACAGGGCTATGCTTTATATTTTCACTTCTGATAGGTTTAGGTGAATTAGTTTGTTTTGATGAAATTGAAGGAACAGGGCTATGCTTTATATTTTCACTTCTGATAGGTTTAGGTGAATTAGTTTGTTTTGATGAAATTGAAGGAACAGGGCTATGCCTTATATTTTCACTTCTGATAGATTTAGGTGAATCAGTCTGTTTTGGTGTAGACAAAGAAGATGAGGAAACGGGATTATTTTTTGAATTTTCGATTTCAATAAGTTTAGGTGATTCATTAATCTGTTTCGGTGCAGATAATAAAAGCCATGGCTGTTGTTGATAAACAACAGTTTCTCCCTGAAACATAAATGATATCAATAGAAACATAAAAAAGGGAAATAGATTTTCAATTTATGTGTGAACTGACGCGAGTTACCACATTTTCGTTTATTTTTTTCTTTCATTTTAAACTTTAACTATACGTGTAAATATTCTGCTCGAAAATTACTTCTCATAAACATTGATTTTACTTACGTAATTAACTAGGACAGAATGTATGAAGTGTGAATAGAGCATACTTCTATTCAGTTAACGTTACAATGTAGCAAGTGATTAACTTGCTTTGATTTCCATTGGATGGTGACCTCATTCCAACATATGATAAAACTATTTCCCTAAGTTGTGATAATATGTACGAGCAAATCAAAAATATGTACGGCACAGTTGCATTCGAAATGGTTTATTGGGAAATTCGGCATTAGTTAGACGTTATTGTTACATATTAGTTTTTATTTTTTATTTAGTTAGACGACCACTGAAAACCAGAAACAACTGGAAAGCTGCATCGTCCAAATATGGGACTTCACAGCCTGCATCTAAGGTCTCTCTGAGGATCAGACTCAGGATTTCCAGGTCTCGCAGTAAGCGCTTAAGCTTGAGACCACTGGGTTGGCATTCAGTGATTTATACTCCCAACTTCAATCCATTCGCTATATTGCCCAACCATCTTACAATGTCATCAGTGGGTAACTGCCTCACACTTGACATGGTTAAAATCTACTTGTCACGACTTCTCGGTAAAACTCCGGAAATTATTTCCCGAGTTACTAGCACCTAATGTATTGAGAAAACCAGTGGCAACCTCTTTAAAACCATGTTTAATGTGTGAAGAAAACAAATTTATTTACTAGACGACAATTTTTAGCAGAAAACTATACCAATCACACAACTAACCCTCCTTTCATCCGGACAAATAACTAGAAATTTCACGTATTATTGAATGTTAAAACCGAGTAAAATCTTTGCCAATTTATTTAGGTTCCTAATAGTAAAGTGAAATTCCAAATATTAATAGCCTTCAAGAAAGCATAAATATACAACAAACAGCAGATTTGTACATCACATATCCACCTTAAGAAGCATAATTAATGTGAAACTTCAGATTAAAGATTTTAAAAATCGGTCAAACTAATGACCAAACTCTATTCTATGAATAAGTATTTCTTGAAATATGATGGAAATCTATATTCTAGTATTTAAATGCAATCGAAGATGACAATCACTAATATGGTCAAACATTTTCCCATTTTAAGTGAAAGAATCTTTATTAGATCTATATCAGATAACTGTAAATATAAACTTGTGAGTATATCTGAGTTGCGTCGAGAAATGGAATCAAGGATACGTGTTTTATTTCTTTAGAACCTTGATGTGCCCACATTCCAGTATTGAATTTCCCACTCGACTTCACTACTTATCGCTACAAACATTAAACTATTGAGTTCAAATAGCTATTAACTCATTTAATGGATATGAAACTATTTGTTAAGCATGATATTCTTCTGCTGACGATATTCATTATTAAAGGACACTTTTGCAGTGAAGCTATCATCATATAAAATTAATAGCTACTATTGAAAATATATATTCGATAGTTTATTCAGCATTGACTGATTAAATCCCGGTATTTTAAAACAATAAATATATGAAGCAGATAAAATCAACACATACACACACTTACGAGTACCCAGACATTATCAGAACAGTAAACATCACATGGAATCACAATGTATTTGGGTTGGCTTATGAAAAACTATAACGAATAACCCAAAACGAAAGAATGTAGACAATTCTAAGATGTTTCAACCACAAACAATGTGATTGCTGTTTCATAATAAATATTTCTGTGTTATTAGCTTTATAAATCACTAATAAATACATTTAACTGGTTTAGCAAAACCATAATGATCTACTATGTTGAATATAGATTACAATAAACTAAAGATTCAATTAATTGACAATAACTTACACTAAGTGATTCACGTTGTCTTAACTGTACTTGTAGACGACCCCCTACTACTTTACGACCTTCTTTCAAATCACCAACATGAGTTACGGTTGCCGATTGGACAAGTCCAGTAAGAGGAATTTCAGTTATACCTAGTACACCCCAGCTTCGAAATATACCACGATTGTAATATACCTGAAAACAGAATAAAAATGAAATTTTAAATGTTTATTGTTATAATATTTCAACACAACAAGATATGAGTTAAAATGAATTAAAATTATTCATCTATAGGTGATCCTATGTCAAATGGCATTTGAATAGTTTTTCAGTTTTGAATTAACTAATTAAGAGGCAAAGTCAATCAAGATAAATGAGTTGTCACGTTGAATAAGATTCTTCTTATGATATTTCAAGTTAAACGGTACCAATAAGAAAATGTGACAAACAAAATTGAAAAGAAAATTTACACTTTTAAAGAATAAATATAAGTTTCATTACATATAATACATATCATTTTGGGAAAAAAAAATGAAAAATCGAAGATTCCCGATCATATATTGTCTAGTTTTCCAATTTTGTTCATCATAAAGATTACAAAGACAGTAATAAAGAATTGAAATTTACAATTTATTTATTTGAACACATAGATATTAGTACAAGAGAGCGCCAAATATATATGCGCCAAACAAAACAATGAGAATTTAAAGAGAAGGAAAAAGAAAAAAAGGTAAGGAGCGTAAAAAAAGAGAACAATAACGAAGAGATTGGTGTAAAGTAGTGTAATAATAATAGTAATAATGGGGGGACGGAAAGGTACAATCAGAAGAAATCTTTCAGTTAAGGAAGAGACAACCAGTTTTTTATGAGAAAAGTAAAAGAAGGTTACAGCAGGGTCGCCACTGGCTTCTATTCTGAACCATATCTGATAACGTCTCTAGCCACTGTGTAGCGCCATCTCTCGGACCCCAACCAGGGAGTCGTGAAGGACCAACACAAGTCAGTCCTTTGCAACTTTCTTTCATGCCACGACACCATGTCATATACTGACCACCTCTCCGCTTTTTCTAACCAGTCCCAGAGTCGGCAAATAGTTACATAAGTGCTTCTATGAATTTTATAATACAGCTAGCAATGCATCTCTTAGATAACAATAATAATAATTATCGAATATTAAATCCTTTCAATTCAATTTAGACTAGAATCTGATCAGCTATTTTGTGAGCATAGAATGATTAAAGTAAATGAAACTAAAATATAACCAAATCACAAGAGTAGAAAAAGATGATGGTTACATATCAACCAATAATCAATGTTAATGGAAAGCTATTAATAATTGAATGTTTTTTTTCTCATATTGTATCGTTTGAATATTAATAATTATACTGACATAATCATATGTTTATTATTCATATGGTTCGAAATTTTCTATGATTATAATTTTTACTAAAAAAAATTATTTATTTGATCATTGGAGTATTGTGATGTTTGAATGAACTAATGATACCTTTGTACTTGTTGAATGCTTGATTTCGAATTCTAAATACAGTACATTCGTTTGTGATTATCTAGTACTTCTTGATCCAATTACGTTATTTCTGGAATTCTTATTTCATACCATAATTCAAATACTCCTAATCATCATATTGGCGTCGCTATGGAGCCTGTGATGGAACGGTTAGACATACATTCAGATTCTGATGCTTTTGAGGATTACTTTGAAAAGTTCGAAATCTGGGCTATGATCAAGCAAGATGCTGAGGATGTTAATATTCTAGCACATTTCCTCATTTTCATCGGAAAAGAAGCATATAGCTTATTAAAAACTCAGGTTTTACCGGAGAAGTCCATTTCGCTTTCTTATACAATTCTCAAGGATCTACTGTTAGACTATGTTCAGTATACAAAGTTCGAATGTGGTAAAGAAGGAAGATTTCGTAAAATGATTCATGAGGATATAAAAAAATTCTAATGCATTTCGTCACCCCAACCCAGTGCATACTCAAGGTTTTGCAGATAATTCATTGAGGAGTTGCGATGCAGTTCAGTCAGTCAGTCAGCTGCAACGTAGGACCAGGCGCATATATGCATCGGTCCAAGTTGCCACACCACATTAACATAACAAAATGGACACCGGATTCATAAAAGTAGTTAATTCAGAGGTGGTAATATAAAAAAGAAAGATTGCAATAAGGATATAGTACACGAAGAAAAAATTAGTTCGTAGAAAGAAAGGTATGAAGCTGGTTTAATCTCTTAGTTTAAGGGAAGACAGGGAGTGTATACACCGACACCATTGTGATCGATGCTGAGCCATGTCACCAAGGGTCTCCAACCATTGGTTACGATAGTCACGTGGACCACAAACAAGTAGTCTGCATCTACCAACATGGCTCAGACTAGAAGTTAGTGACTTCAAGCACTGATACCATGTTTTGGTTTGGCCGCCCCTAACTTCCTTCCAACCATCTCCAACACCGGTTAGCATTGCACGTCGTGACCGGAATACACCAGCATCTCTGCTGAATTTATCCTTTTCTATCCAGCTTGGGTCCAATGTGTTTCGCTGATTCCGAGTACTGCTAAGTTGTATCTCTTGATTTCCGTTGCTAATTAACTGGTCCTATCCGTTTCCCACATTGTTCGGACGCTCTATGTACTTATTCTAATTGTCGGTCTGGTTGTTAGAAGGGTTATCGACTTCGTGACTTGTGAAGAATCCCGGCTTTAATCATGAGGCGTCATGATTCTTTCTTCAACTCCCAGGGTAGCGTTTAAATATATATTATTATTTATTTATTTGAACACATGAATCTTGGTACAACAGAGCGCCAATATATATGCGCCACACAAAACAATGAGAATTCGAAGAGAAATAGAAAAAAAACTAAGGAGCGCAAAAGAAAAAGAGAACAATAACGAAGAGATTGGTGTAAGGTAGTGTGGTAGTAACGAGGGAACGGAAAGGTACAATCAGAAGAAATCTTTCAGTTAAGGGAGACACAACCAATTTTTATAAAGAAAGTAAAAAAAAAGGTTACAGCAGGATCACCACTGGCTTCTACTCTGAGCCATATCTGATAACGTCTCTAGCCACTGTGTAGCGCCATCTCTCGGACCCCAACCAGGGAGTCGTGAAGGACCAACAGAAGTCAGTCCTCTGCAACTTTCTTTCATACCACGACGCCATGTCATGCACTGACCACCTCTCCACTTTGTGCTAATGCGATATAGCAACTTGAACCGATGTGCATACATACCAGGTCTTACATTGCGACTGATTGACTAACTGACTGAATATTTGTAAGGTCAACTAGGCGATAGTTATTTACTAAATTTTGTGATCAGTTTTATAAATCGAACTACGTACCAGACTACTCTATGACTGACTGAAGTACTTTTTTGTACCTAATGATCCAACACAATCCCTGTAGTCATATGTGAATGATTGTTAGACCTATAATCATATGACGTCAGATATGGCTGTTATATATATCCTTCATATTTCGTACAATAACTTGAAAAACATTCATAAGAACTTCTCATTGCATTATCGAAATTTATCAAAGGGACTAATTGTTTTAAAATTCATAAGAACATTCCTTACTTGAATATTAGATGAATATTCCTATAATTTCGAATCTTAGAAATGATCTATTTATTTATTTATTATTTATTTATTTATTTGAACACAAATATTGGTACAAGAATACGCCAAATATATATGCGCCACACAAAACAATGAGAATTTAAGGGGAAGGAGAAAAAAAGAGATTGATGTAAGGTGGTGTAATAATAATGATGGTAAAAATGGCGGATCGCCACTGGCTTCTATTCTGAGCCACATCTGATAACGTCTCTAGCCACTGTGTAACACCATCTCTCGGACCCCAACCAGGGAGTCGTGAAGGACCAACAGAAACCAGTCCTTTGCAGCTTTCTTTCATCCCACGACACCATGTCATATACTGACCACCTCTCCGCTTCTTCCAACCAGTCCCAGAGTGGGCAAATAATGCACGACGTGGAATTCTCTGAGACGACATTCGTAGAACATGTCAAAGCCACCGAAGTCGGTGTTTCAAGATGGTGACACCAATTGCATTATCATCTCTGTGCCCGAACACACGATACCGAACCTCTGCATTACTGACACGGTGTTGCCACTGAATGTCAGCAATCCTTCGGAGACAGCGATGATCGAACACAGAGGGTCGTCTAACATCCTCAACTCGGAAAGGCCAGGTCCACAAGCATAAAGCGAGACTGTTCTCACCGACACGTTGTAGATCTGATCTTTTACAGCCAGACTAACATCACGAAGGCGCCAAAGATGGCCCAGATTGGCATAAGCCGCTCTGGCTTTCATTATACGTGCATTGATCTCATCACTCACACCCCCACCAGCACTCGTACAGCTACCCAGATACACGAACTTCTCGACTACTTCTATCTGCTCACCATCCAGGGTGAGTGCAGGGTTAGAATCCTGCCAGTCTTGTAGAAGTACTTTGCACTTCGAAGGTGCAAAGCACATACCATACCTACGGACACTGATTGCCAACTGATTAAGTGCGCATTGCATGCCTTGGGCATTGTCGCACAGTAAGACAATATCATGCGTATACTCAAGGTCGAGAAGTCTTTATCCAGGCAGCAGATCCACAGCGCCATTACTTACATCCATCAGAGCTGTTTCCAGAATATCATCGATGGCAAAGTTGAAGAGGAATTGTGAGATTGGGCAACCCTGCCTAATCCCACTTCTCGAATGGAGAGAGGTGGTTGTATGCCCTCACTCTACCTGAGGTGTTTTTATATAGGGCTTTTAAGATGTTAATAAACTTCTCAGGCACACCCTTCTTCAATAGACAATCCCAGAGAACAGTCCTATCCACCGAATCGAAGGCAGCCCTGATGTCAAGAAACACTAGGATTGTTGGCCTTTGAAATGTATGGCAGTGTTCTAACATTTGGCGGAGGGTGAAGATATGATCAATACATCCTCGACCAGAACGAAACCCAGCCTGCTTCTCGCGAGTCAATCTTTCTCGGGTTTCGAACAACCTACGAAGTATGAAAATTGTTCAATGCGAAGGACAAGTACTGAATGACCTCGATTTTGATTACAATTCGGATGATTCCATATCAACTGCTGTTTATGCTTATCACAAAAACACTTCTAATGTTTACTCTAACCAATGTGAGAAATAAGTTTTAAATGAAGCCACATCATTCATAAGTTGAGGATATAAAGATCCAACATTATTTCGTCGGGGAGGTTAGTCTAAAAGTCTATGGTTCAAATTCTAGGTAGCAGTGGTTTCAGTACACAACCGACATGCTGATTACACAATCCCAGGAAGTAGGTGAGTCTGTTACGATTTCGGTTGTTAATTCTAATACTAATGAGTGCATTCTAGATAATAGAGTTTTTATACAATATAATGTCGGACAGACACAGGATGAACTTGAGAAGAAGACGTACGATTGATTACAGACACCTAGACTCTAATTCAAGCTATGGCGGATGTGGTGTTTGAATGAACTAATGATACCTTTGTACTTGTTGAATGCTTGATTTCGAATTCTAAATACAGTACATTCGTTTGTGGTTATCTAGTACTTCTTAATCCAATTACGTCATTTCTGGAATTCTTAGTTCATACTATAATTCAAATGCTCGTGATTATCATAAGTATACACACATAATGTGAGAAACACTTTCTGGTTACGATCAAATTTATGGTTCATTAAAATTACACATAATTTGGAATTAGTAATGATCTAGTGCACGTAGCATATACGTTGGATGCCAATGTTATGCCTGTAAAACAAAAGTAGAATACCGAAATCATGTTTAGTCATCTTTTTAGCACTTAAGAAGCAAAGTATACTACTTACACATTAAGATGATGTACCAGGTGAGTCTATATTGAACAGGTACTTTGGCTTATATTAACCCGTATGGTAAACTATGAATATGAATTCGTCTGGAAAAATGTTACGACATATAATGAAAATCTGAGAATTTTCGGAAGTGTAACAATTTTTTCAGTCAATAGTCAATAAACAAACTGAAATAGACTTAATTTAGGAACAAAAAATAAAAATGACTACTAGCTACAAAATTAGAGATCTGTTGTTAAATAATAATATTGACATAAATATGCATACGGTAATAGAACAAATACGAACAACAGCTAATCGAAATTTATCTTGAAAGAACAAGAAGTTAATCGATTCTATGAAAATTTTATTGAATCGCTTCTGCATTGATGGTATTATTTAGGAAGTTAATAAAAGCTACATAACGAAACCAAAGAGAACAAAAAACATTATACCTTTGAAATTTCACTACTGAGGCACTTATCTTCTCTACCATCTTAAACGAGGATAACAAAAATATCCATGTAGATCACTAACCAAGTACTCATTTATGCACTTGACTTTTAGTCAAACATTTTGTGCATAGGCTAATTGATATTAACCGTTTTTGATACCAAATTATTTGAAGCCGAGTTTGACTCAAAATCATAGTTACCAGTAACAAAACTGACCAAGGGAAAACACAACCTTAATATACATACAAAATATTACATAGAACAATGCAATTGTAAACTAATACAACTGAAAACTAGCTTACTGTTGCTTTTAGACAACGATTATTCTGAACAAATCGTCTATATGAATGACTTTTTGTATTTACACGAAATTCTTTAACTGATTGACTATATATTGGTTCACTACTTGATTTAACTACATTGGTAGATAACTTCATTGGTGGATTGGCATTATTTAAACTGAATTCAACTTCAACATAAGTATCAATATTTGAATAATGTGATGGAAGTGGATAAGCTATACCATGAATATTACTAACTTCAAGTATATCATCCGCTAATTCAGCATTCAAATTACATTTAGGCAAATTGGCATATTCAAAATATGCGGTTAAATTAGATACATGTTGATTGTATTTAGATAATAATTTCTTGATACACGTATTCACACTAAGTAAATCAGATAATTTCGATAATATCGAATGTGCATTAGCACCGCCATTACGACGATGTTGATTTATTAAATTGTTAATTAGTTGTTCTTGTTCTGATAAAATTTCTGAGTATGTTTTAAATAATTGATCACCTATATAGAACATATAAAATTTATCTTGAAATATGGAGTTGTTTAAAAAGTATTAAGTAACAAAGAGAACATATCATAATGCTTGACTGTAAGGGTTTCCTGTCGTTAATATTAAGGATCATAAGTGGTTAGGAACCAACGTAGTCTTTAGCATTAACAATAGTGAACAAGTAAGTGGCTATTCGGATTGAATAGTTCGATGGACAAAATGCTGACATTTAAAGTGAAAGGCATCAGGTTCGAGTCCCGGGGTAGTCACTAATAGTGAGATGGAGGCACATCCAATTGACGAGTTCCGAATAAGACGAAATGCGTATCTTAGATCCCACTGCTAGGCACTATCCAACTCTAGTAAAAATTATTTTGATAGTATTATCATATATAATTTAAGTGATAAATACAAACCAATATGAATTTAAATAGATTTCGTTAAGTATGATGCATAGGATTATATCTATCACCGAATTCGATGAGTCCTACAGTTAGTCTTGTACGCATTAAACATTATGTAGCCCTAGAATACAAATGAATAATAGAGTGAGCTACGCTACAGCCAGAAAATTGTTCTAAAGAATTGTAGTTACTCAGTCAGTTACAATCAACATACAGCCAGGGTAAGTTCTTAGAAAACATTAGCACGACGAGATGAAGTCAACAAGATGAATAGCAAAATAATTGAAATATTTGTAGTAGCATTAGTAATCAGGAGTACTAGACAGTTAGAGTATGTTCAAGAAAACGAAATGTGAAAATATATATGTATGAAGGGAAACTGAAACTTAAGATCTAGGAAAAGTAAGAGTGAATGCATCTGAGGTAGGTCAGCCAAGAGCAACAATGTATGGGATAAATCTCAATGGGGTCAAACGGTTACATTTCATAACAATACAGTAGGGAAAAACACAAGACAGAGTAAAGAAGAAGGAATAATGGATTGTCAATTGCAATGGCGAACGAATGGAATAATGGAACAAAGACTCTGAAATAACATTCACATTTCAATGACAGAAAATATAAATACAACTGCACCACCAAGACAGATTTTGAGGTGTTATATTTATATATTATGATTACTCTGGAGATCCCAAATAGAAACCATGTGTTTTCTTACAATGCTCAGTAAGTTTCCTAATATTTTCTAATATACTCCTACGCTAACTAGTATTGTACGGTTAGGAGTTGCAGGGTATAACTCAAATGCGTCCCATCTACCCCAGTATTACTTGATGAGTAGCTTACCCTGAGTAAGTAATAATTCGAAGGCAGCTTTTATCGAATAACTGCAGTATAAGAACGTTTTCTACCTTTAATAGTCAGGTATTTTACATTAATTAAGTGATATATAGTTAATTGTCGAGCCATTTATATATATATATATATATATATATATATAAGGATTTTGTTCGCTCCATGGACGAGATACAGTAACAAAAAATAGACGAAATTTCTCAGGGTGGTTGGATTTCACGTACCAACCAGTTACCAACCGAACTGAGTCTATAAGTACAATGTTCAACGCGCTCAGATACATTACTCCCTATGATCAAATCTGTCAGTGACACTAGCTTATCAGTTCTAAAGCAACAGTGTGAGCTTTGAAGAGAGAAAAGCATCGCAAACATCTTAGCATTAGTGTTCAAAAGACTGAATTCTGTCATTCGTATATTGTAAGTGAATGAGGTCAATGGGTAGTAGGTCACCCTTTGAGAAGTGTCACCAGTAGAAAGAAATGTATCTATGATGAAATTAAATAAAAAGCAAAAGAATAGAAGTATCGAAAGTGTGCAACAATACTTCTTTAAAATTCAGTTAAATTTCTCTAAAAAAAGCATACTATTTGAAACGATTTACCTGATAAAGAATTAAAAGCAACGGCATACTTTACAGGTGGATCACATTTTAATCCACTTAATATAGGTCTAGATGGATTAGAATCAGTAAGTGCAGGTGGCCGTGGTAACTGAGTTAAATCTATTGGTAAGCCAGCTTCAGCAGCTTGTATCATTTGATTCATTCCAAGAACCGATCGTATGTACGTTTTAGCCAATTCAATATTACCAGATTGTTTTGCAGCTTTAGCGGCTTGTTTCAACTCATCTTGACGTTTAGTTAATAGTTCAACAATTGCTTCCGTTTTATTTTTTATTGGATGCCCAGAGCTAGGTTTTGCAAGAGATGTTTTTGGATCATTGTTAGATAATTTTACATTTTTACATAATTTAGAACGATCAGTAAGTGGAGGATAACCTGGAGGTGGGACCAACTCTTCAAATTCAAACGAAGTAACTCCATGTTCACAAGCTCTCAGTCCTTCATCATACCGTGTGAGAATACGATTGTAACGACGTTTCTTTGAGTCATCGTTGGTTATTTCCTTTAATTTTTCCTTTGACGAATAGACAGTAAAATTAGGTGAGAAAAAATCTACATGATACAGTTTACCACTATTTCGTATTACGTAATAATAAGATAATTTGAGCTAATTAATAGTTGTTATTTAGCGGATTTCTTTATAGTTTATAGCGAAATAACTTCAAAACTGTTAGCCACCATCCATCTCTGTTTAAAAATACTTGTGATTTAACGGTAATATCGACGCAATCCACAGAGGATGCACTATGTCAAAAGAGATTGATCAACTGAAGTTTTAAGTGTTAATGTCAGTCAGTCAGTCAGTAACAACGTAGAACTTCGTACGTACATACATCAGTTCGAGTTGCCACATCACATCAGCACAGAGATGCAGTGGTCGATTCAAATCCCGTAGTGCTAGATGTAGTAAAATTATAAGCAGTAATTGGAAAGATTAGGGTTTGGAGATGTTATTTAAAGAGTATAATCCAGTGAAATAAATTTGGAAAGAGAAAAAAGAAAGGGATATGAAGAATTCAGAAGATTAGAATTTGGGAGAACACAAAGAGTGGATGCACCTGCGCCATTGCAAACGATTTTGAGCCATGTCATTCAGGGTCTCTAACCATCGGTTGTTATCATCTCTCGGTCCCAACCAGGTAGTCTACACCTACCAATATGATTCAGTCTACTTGTCAGTGACTTCATGGACTTGTGATGTGTTTCGGTCTGGCCGCCCCTAGCTTTCTTCCAACCTACTCCTATACAACAAAACACTGCACATCGAGGCAGTCGGTGGTTGGGCATACTTCACCAATTGATTTGCCATCCTTACCTAGTACCCGTTTCCTAATAACTGTGTTACTTCTCCGGTGGTCCCAGGATATACAAGCAATGCTTCGAAGACATCTATGATCGAATACTAGTAACCTACGAACATCATCTACTCTTACCGACCATGTTTCACTGTCATAAAGTAGGACGGAACGAACTGCTGCATAGTAAACCCGTCCTTTGGTTGGTAGACAGATATCTCGCCTACGCCATAAATGATGCAATTTGGCAAAAGCTAGTCGAGCCTTCTGTATCTGTGCTGAGATTTCATCACACACTAGACCACAAGGGCTGATGAGATTCCCAATCATTAGTTCAGGTGTCGATGCAACCCAATCCTGAAGCAACATTTTGCATTTCGAGGGGGAGAATCGCATCCCAAACATGCTTGCATTGTTGCTTAGAGTGGTCAGAAGACTCTTCCATTTGTCAGCGTCTTCACCAAATACAGCTATGTCATCAGCATATTCTAAGTCAACAAGTGAATCTCCCGATGTAAGTTCAACCCCTGTAAATTTAGATGAGGAAAGTGTCATCTCTAAAAGCACGTCAACGACAAAGTTAAACCAGAATGGAGAGAGTGGACAGCCCTGACGAACACCACTTGAGGTAATCAATTTTGATGACAGTTCGCCATAAGCTCTCACTCTACCAGTTGTGTTCGAGTAGAGAGCCTTTACAAGGTTAATGTACTTCTTTGGTACTCCTTTCAGTGACAAACACTGCCATAGAACCTCACGATCAACAGAGTCGAATGCCGCCTTAAGGTCGAGAAATACTACGATTGTGGGGCGCCTGAATGTGTGTCTATGTTCTAGAACCTGACGTAGTGTGAATATCTGATCTACACAACCACGTCCAGGTCGAAAACCGGCCTGGTTTTCTCTAATCTGCTCTTCACGAGTTTTGATTAGGCGTCGAAGTATTATTGAAGCTAACATTTTAGACACTATATTAGTCAAACTGATTCCTTTGTGATTGTCACAAGAGGACTTTTGTCCTTTCTTGTAGACGGGCACAATCAGTGATTGAGACCAGTCAGATGGGATTACGTTCAGTTCCCAGATTCCACCTACGACCTCAGTTAATCTCACTGTTAATACTGGACCACCATCCTTAAAAATCTCAGGAGTCGAATGCCGCCTTAAGGTCGAGAAATACTACCATTGTGGGGCGTCTGAATGTGTGTCTCTGTTCTAGAACCTGACGTAGTGTGAATATCTGATCTATACAACCACGTCCAGGTCGAAAACCAGCCTGGTTTTCTCTAGTCTGCTCTTCACGAGCTTTAGTTAGGCGTTGAAGTATTATTGAGGCCAATATTTTAGACACTATATTAGTCAAACTGATTCCTCTGTGATTGTCACAAGAGGACTTTTGTCCTTTCTTAAAAACTGGCACAATCAGTGATTGAGACCAGTCAGATGGGATTACGTCCAGTTCCCAAATTCTACCTAAGACCTCAGTTAATCTTGCTGCTAATACTGGACCACCATCCTTAAAAATCTCAGGAGTAAACCTGTCAGGGCCTGCTGCTCTCCCTCGTTTCAGATTTCCTATGGCTTTTTCAACTTCGTAAAGGGACGGAGGACTTACATTAACTTGCCATCCAGGTTGACTGGAGATCGTGGGAAACCGAAGTGTGGCTGAAGGCCAGTTGAACTGATCCCTAAAGTGTTCTGCCCATCGATCCAATCTCCTGGATTGAGAATGTATAATATGTCCATCTTTCTCTGAGAGTGTTTCGCTAACGGTCGGGTTCCTAATTCCGGTTTCCTTAACAAGTCTGAACAATTGTCTGCTATTACCTATTGCTACTGCCTTTTCCATCTCTCTTGCTTTCGCTACCCACCACTGTTCACGATCATTGCGTAGACTTCTTGTCAGCTTGCGCTTAAGCTGACTCCGCTCTTCATTATGTTCAGAGCCAGGTGGAATGAGTTTCCGAGCATCTATCAGTGCGATAGATGCTGCTGAGATCCAGTGTTGCTCCCTAACCTTCTGGTTTACCTTACTAGCAGATATCACTGCTGTTTCCACAGCTTTTCGGATATCATTCCGTGCTGCCTGGGGGTGGGCATCACATACATGGCTGCCTAACTGTTTTCCTAGTTGTTCCTGAAATATACTCTTAGCTTGACTATCATTAAGTAGGGCCCTAAGAGGTTTCCTTGCAGCGTCTTTCCTACGTCCAGTAAGACGCAAGCAAATACGCGCTCGCACTAGAGCATGATCTGAATCTAAGCATGTGCTCCAGAATGAGCGACAGTCTTCTATCGAGCCCCTCCATCGGTGGCTGATAGCGATGTGATCTATTTGGGTCCAACGTTGGGACGAATTAGGGGGTCGCCATGTTAAAAGATGTTTTTCCTTATGCTTAAAGTTAGTATTTGCAAGGAACAGGCGGTTATCTGAGCATAGCTGCAACAGACGGTCGCCATTATCTGTTCTTTGAGCCACGACACCATAAGATCCACCTAGGTGTCTTTCCCTATCGCTTAGTTTACCTACTTGAGCATTAAAGTCACCAGCCACTATTACTACATCAGAGCGCCTAGCTTTTCGGAGAAGGTCGGAGAGCTTTCTGTAAAACTAATCTTTTACATCATCTGCGCTGAAGTCAGAGGGAGAAAAGGCAGAAACGACGAAGAGGCAACGACGAGTGTCCCTATCTTTTCGGATCCTTACTGTTCCGTTCAGTCGGACAGCGCACAAACGACTGTCTACTGGGATCCACTCTAAGAGAGCTAGTTCTGCCCTAGGACTCAATGCCATATCACTTCCCAGTCGCCCACACCGTGGAAGGGTATTTCTTGAGGAACCTGAAAAGGAAATTGGATTAGTGTTGGTCTTAACGACCTGGGAGCGTGATCGCAGAGCCCAAAGGGACAACTGCTTGAAGCCGGTCGCGCACGGCCTTTTCGTGGGAGGTTTTTAATGTGTTAGCTCCGTTCTTCAAAGGGCCTTACCGCCGGAGACGGAAATCCGTGAGGTAAGGTGAGATGTGACATTGTTAGGGTCGACCTTTTCTAACCCCACTCCTCCTTGTGGGAAGGCAGCATCGCTGTCATGCTGGTTGTCTGAAGGAAACACCTTACTGCTGTCACACCTCTGTACAGTCAGCAGTACGACTTCGTCCTCAGACCTTGAGTTGCTGCTTTTAGTCTTACTGTTCTCCAATCGACCTGCCTGGCATGGTAGAACCTACAGGAACATATGTTCCAGCCAATATAGCTCGGTTGGGTCATCACGGTAGGCAAGCCCGACCACCGCGTCAAGGTAGCAGCTTCGGTCGGGCGAGATTCATTATGCTTCACTAGTAAATGTAAGCATCGAACTTTATTTGTGGATATGACTGGATGCTGAGGATATTCCCATTGTGACTCATTTGTAACTGTATTAACATAGTATGGTTTTCCACTACTAGAGAAGATTCAAATAACCAAAACATGTGAATTGAAATCCACCCCATCACATAAGCTAGTGACTATCTAAACTCAGTAGCGGACTGGATATAGTATTGAGTTTTAACCAAGGAAGGAACATCAACTCTGAGATGCAGGTATATCCAGCTGATGAGTCCCAATGAGGGCGAAATGCGCGTCCTACATTTCACTACCAATCACAAACCTATGTTCAAAGCTGTGTCTGATATTTAGTTACTTTTCTATTGCTAACCGAATGACTATTTGCATTATTCGATCAAGTAAACCAATCAAGCACAGAGATGCAATAACATACACTTTTGTATGTAATGATAGTGATTGTATTTCAAAGGAAGATCGACGTTTCAATAGAATTCCAATCAATGATTTTTATCAGCATTATATGAAATCCTATTAAACTGGCAATAACTATTACCAATTGTTTTGGTTAACTGTAACGTGAATAATAAATACGTAATCACTTAACTTCATCAAATTGGTTATTGAATTACATTTTTTGTCTTAATTAGGATCGAGGTCAATAAGATACTAGATTGACTACTAGTTAAGCTATACATTATATGATAAATTTTACAACATCAATTAAATTAGTCGTTGATAACATAATAATAAGATTTAATATAGACTATATACACCAGTGAACTTATATTTAAAAACGATATTTCGAAACATACTTTATAGTAGGTTATACGAGCTAAGATATTTTCTGTGCAAACAATAGACGTTTTCATAATATCTGGTATAGTCGATTTTACAGGCTGAGATGAAGGTGGTGGCTGAGCGATCACAGTTTCATTGTTTGGATCCCCCTCATTAGAGAATTCATACTCCGATGGCGGAGGAGGTAAGTCTGTCTCTGGATCGAATGTTTCTTTGCCAGCTTCTATATTCACGATAGCTTCTCCAATACATTTTGATGCTTCCAATAATTCTTTTGCTTTCCCTAGTTGGCCTATATCCCGAGCTTTCAAAGCAGCTAACTTATGTACACAATGATAACAGTATATATGAAAATTACTTACATATCAAATAAATAAGTAAATAAATGAAATGCTCATCCTTCGAAGGCAAAAAGCAAAGTGAGTAAGAAATTAAACAGGATAATAATATCGTGAAAGCCATCGCGCACAATCCATTTTACCACCATTTTTACTTTAAACAATAGGGTTAGGATACTGAGGAAGTTTTCCAATTTTTCTCATTCCCCTTCGATCTTACAATTGACTAAATTTTGAAAGTACTAAGGAGAATGAGTAGGGTTGATGTCATAGAACTAATACTTGAAGAAATAAAACTGGGCTTTGTAAATTCATGATATTCGGTCATGAGCGGGCCTCTGAACGTCAGCTACCAATCTCTAACAACACTGACTCATGATGAAGCTCAACAGTGCGTGTTCGGGCACAGTACATATTATCATTTTTGACCGTTAACATCATCTCGAAACACTGGATTTGGTGACATAAAAGCGTACTGTGTGTCGTTAAAGTCAAAACCGTACGTTAAGTACGATCGAAATATTTCGATCGTTGTAAAGAAATATGTCTACTTTGAGACCATTTATTTTTCTACAAATATGAATCGATTTCCATAAACTATTCATAATTCTTTGATAAATTATCAAATAAAACGTCTGAAAAGATTTTTAACAATCAGTTATTTCATAGATCGCATTCTAAAAATTGAGAAAGTAGCTAACATAAGTCAAGCTTGTTTGATACTCATACATTATTACATGTGTACAGCTGTTTATGCAACCATACATAATAAGAGAATGAGTACTACACTCCGGATCTTCTTAAAAAAAACAAAACATGAGAACAGACGACAGTGAGATAATTTTGAAAAACCAAGCTCTTAAAACACAATCTGAAGTATATAAAAATGTATCTCTAACGATCTAGAATATCATGTTCACACAAAGCACAATGTATTTTGGTCCCATAAATGAATTTGACCTGAATTTCACAGAAAACGGATGATTCTTGTTAAATACACGTAAACCCACACAATTCTTAACACACCAATATTTATGTTTAAATATTGATCTGTCCTACTAGTGTTATAGGTACGTACTGTGTCTAGAGTTAATCAGTTAGAAAAAATAGGTATTTTGACTAAAATACCAACCACTAAAGTATTAGTAAAATTTTCACCAACCTAACAATAGAACTCACAGAACAGAATTAGTACAGATAAGTTCTTCAACAAAGCTATGATTTACATTTACTGAGTCAAACAAAAAAGATTATTCAGAGGTATTAGATAGAATACGATTCAAAACTGTGATCAAATGGTTAAAAAAGAAGTTGGAAGATGTAAAAATACACAGCACAAATCAGAACATGGAGCCTGAAATAATTGGTTATATAATGAATATACTAAAATGCAATATAGTATAGAGAGTTCATAAATGTCTTCGGACTGCATGGTTTACATTACGAAGGGATATCGACTGAACCATCGGTAAAAACCTGGGAGCACCGAAAAGTTGTTTTGTACTAGTATGGGACTCCCCAAAAATACACAGCCACGACCCCTCCAAGGATCGAATATGGGATCCTCATATCCTCATAACTTTTAAACCGGTAGGTTTGTACCCAATAATTTGCATTTCTAACTTCAATTGATTCATAATGCTGAGCAACCAAGGTCAGTCTGTGGTGTAAACTATGAAAATCAACTAAACAAATCAAATCATATGGGAATAGCCATCATCTATAAGACAATGGTTTGAAAAAGGGAAGAAAATGTATCCCGTTAATCTACATTTTAGAACCTGAAATACACACGATAAGTGATATGATAGAAGCACTATGACGTAATACCTGAGTTTTTTAAATGTTTACATTAGGTTTATATGTATTATAATCTGCTTATTCTGCAAATAAGTATTAAGAAATTTGTTTTTCACTATAGATTTTAAAAGGATGATTAAATGATAGATAATTTTTTATATTTTTTTACAAAATGTATCTACCTAGGACGCAAATATAATTTATTTTGACAAATCAATACTTTAAGTTTGCAAACAGCAAATAAAAATCCCGTATTTTTACAGAATTCATCTTAATGAATAGTGACCAGTGTTACATTTTTCCAGTCCTTTTTATTCTTGATCGAATCCTATCAATTAAGTTGCAATGTGACAACTGGTATGAGTGACTCGACACTGTGGATCACATTGAAATGTTAGGCTGTCAACTACATTTAAACACCTGACATAAATTCACACTTAACAGCAAGTATTGTTGTTGAGTTATTAACCTACTGTACTGATTTATAGCATTCACAAACTCATGATAAACTGAAAGATTTTACCCTTAATTTTGTGCGTCTTATTTACATGAGTTACTTAAGATATTTCTACGATTCTGAAAAAATCTACATTATATAAAAAGTTTGAAGTTGAGTCTATTATTTTATGAATTTCACTAATCAATAGAAATACGGAATGTTGAACTTTGAGACAACTTTAGAAAAACAATCGGATTAGATTCGAGCGTTCAAGAAAGCTTTTTTTTGAAAAGATGGAAAAACAGATACAAGATAAACTAATACAAGAAACTCCACTGATCAGGAACACAACATACTAGTGACAAACAAATTAAAATTTCATTATATTTTGTCTTAGAGTCTTGGTTACATGGGCTCGATTTATTTATTTCCATACTATGATTTGCATGAATCATTTATGTTGGCATACTTGAAGGGTGAAGTTTAAAAAAAAGTTGAAACTGGATTAAACCATCGCCATTCCTATACAGCACCCATAATTTGACTTGTTCCAGTTATCAGAAATAGAGTAGTGTACATCCAGAGTAGAAATAAACCAAACAATTGATATAATAAAAAAGTGTATAACAAAGAAAAGTAAAACAACAATCATAGTATAAACTATTTTACAAATTTACTTTGTTCTACTTAGAAATGGATATAATTGAAATAGACTTCAAACTAACATTTACTATTGTATAATCGTAATAACTGTTGACAATAATTAACTGAATAGGAAATCTTCAAGGCAAAGTAATCCAACAGAAATCTAATATGCTTCAAGGACGATAAACGGATGATGTTCTGAAAGAAAAGGGAAACTCACTTTGTATTCTTTATGACGATTTTTCAATAAATCTAGACCAGAATTAGAAGTTTTTGGATTGATATAATCCAATACAGCTTGACGAATATCAGGTTTTACATCAGCGGCAGTCGGTTTTAAAGTACTTCCTGAACTATTTCCCAAAGCATTATTATTTGAAGGTACCTTTGCCAGTTGTTAATTAAATATATTTTAATTTTAAATAAGAATAAAATGTAATTTCAGTCAACAAAATTTAAGGTTCAATAAAAGGGAAATTAAAACAGCACTTATCACAAATCAATAACGAGTTGTGGGACGGATAAAAGCTTAGAAGCATTAAAAAACTTGTTTTTAGAATATATGGATTGTGGTTAGCAGTGGAATTTGGGACGAGAATTTCTCCCTATTTGGTACTCATATGCAGCATGAATCTGGATCCAAAGTACGAGTTTCAAATAGGACATAACGCAAGACCTGAATCCCACTTCGGGATTCAGTCCTGAATATCAATAATAGGATAATCCAGACCCTATCTAGTATTAACGTAATCAGCAGCTTTCTTCTTAGTTTAAAACTTCTCAATAATAAGCACCTTTATAACCCCCTAACTCACGTAATTGAAACCAGAACTTTTTAGATACTTCACGGACAGAATTTATGTAAATTAATCACTACTTTACGAGTTAAAAATCTTGTGAAGAAACCAATGATACTATCTAGTTTCGTAATAAGCAAAAGTAATTAAAGTAAGTTTCAATTTATAACTATTCATAGGTTAATGTAGTCGAAAAACAATGATTTAAAGCATCATGAGTTTGTGTAATAATCATCATTATTTTTAACGATTTATAAAAACTTTATCCTTATACCAGTTTTTGTTCTGCACATGTTAAAACTACTACAACTGGTCTTTCACAGAACAGGTCTCGAAACAGACCTACAAGTCCTAACGTCTTCTGGGTTGCATAATTCGTAACCTCTATAATAACGAGTCACGTACTTGGATGAATAAAGTATTTGTTCGACCGTTCCTAGAATATTCTAAATCTTATCACCATGTGAATTACATTACCAGCAAACTTTCCAGACTCTGGTATAATTTGCCACAATCTGTCCGTGAGATAAAGTCACTCTCATCCTTTGTTCGCTGCATCGATGCTTCCCCTGAAAATGCTTTAAATGTACTTACATCTGTAAGTATATTCCATTTCACAAGTGAGATTATGAGAACTTTGAAAGTTTAATCGTTTTTATTATTGAGGTCACTAGTAATATATATATATATCCTGAAGTATGATAACAACCTTTGGATTTGTCACTGAACCTTCGTTGACTTCTAATTCATCCATCTTATTAGCTCTGTTCGATACAGGTGATTTCCCACTTTCCATTGATTTTACTAGTTCAGCAAGTAACAATTCATCGTCGTTATCACAATTTGTCCCGTTCTATCAAAGAACAAGAAGTACATAGAAACAAAATATTAGATTTTCATAATATCTGAACATTTTATCGCCAAGTCATCTGTTATGATGTAACAGCTTTATATTATTTGCCTACAGCGAACGCCCAAACAAGGGCATTCTGAACTGGTATAAAGCCCAACGTTCATGTGTCATTTTGATCCTACTAATTACTTCGTACTGATTCAAATAACTAAGGACAACTTTTATCCACATACATTTTAATATAAGTGTGAATCGATTTGTGCTTGTTTGTCTATTGTCCATTCAGTCCATATAAACCGATTAAACAATTCACGCACTGATTAACTGTCAAGTCATTCTACATACCACACGACAATCCCTACACTTACTCTTCCTTGATAGCGGTCTGATCGCCTGAGTTGCATGTCTGAAGTATAATATTTCTAACCACTTTGTATCTTGACTTTTTTGCTGTTATACCGTTGGCAAAAGCTGAAGTGACGGTATTCCAGTCGACTGATTAGACGAAGCTACCCGGAATGACAATGTAGCCACCAATATCGATATTCAGTCTATTTTAAAATAGCTATAGAAACTGTTACCGCCATATGCTTCGCATTACCAATACCTTTTTAGTAGGTTTCCAATCCCAAACAATTTACGTATCATATATTTTTAAACAATCTACGTTTCTTTTTATATGTTGGACCCATATTGTACCAACCTAATTACCCTCGTAAATTAATGCGTATTCTATAATTTCTGGAATATATGTGTTTAATTAAAATATTTGCTTTCCAAAATAAGTATCAGTGAGATTGCTGTAGATTCCATCAACAATGACTTATAAGTATCGCTCATATTTTATGAAAATAGCATTCATTTGGTATTATAGACCGCCGAAGTTGACTTTTACAGAATATGTGGATCGTCAAAGTGAATTCTCGTTTATCAGTTCGCCATGAACAATGAACAGCGACAGGGTTTTCTTCTTAAGCTCAATTAATTGAGGATTACAAAACCTATTAGGTCTATAGAAGAATCCTTGTAAAGGTACAGCCATTTCAAATAGATATATTTATAACCTTCTGATATGGCCAACAAGAACCGAACCTGGTAATCACATCTAGACTTCAATCTTGACCTAAAAAATTTATAACATTCTATCACTAATGTGTTAAATGACGTTCAGTCGTTAATTCCGTGGTACGTTGTATACACCAATGTCTGAATGCGATCTATATAATTATTTGACTTGGTTTGACAACAGCGTTATATTTTTGATGAAACATAAGACACACGACAGAGAAATTTACGAAAACATTGTGAACGTTTCTTCGATGATACCCTCGTCTTCCTCTGCATTTAAATCCTAATAATATGACGCGATTTTATATACCTAATCTATAAGTATCAGTATAGCAACTTTGCCCTTGAAATTATGTATGTATATGTATATGTCAACAGTGAGGAGATTCATTACGAGAGAAAAGCTTTTGTTAAGTGTATGAAGCAATACTCTTTGACATATAAAACGGTCCTTCACTAAAATTTCTAACAAATAAGAAACGCAACTCGTATTTCGTATATTCACATAAAGCAACAAACTAAAGCATGATAACTACCTTTGAATTCGTTGTCAGACCACTGTTTCTTGGAGAACTCAGCAATGACGATCCAAAATCACTTCCTCCGAACCCCGATGTTTGATGAGGCGGCCTGGAAGTACTACCAGTACTTGTCTTTTGATTGCCGAAAATATCTTCGTTGATTTCTAATTCATCCATCTTATTAGCTCTGTTCGGTACAGGTGATTTCCCACTTTCCATTGATTTTACTAGTTCAGCAAGTAACAATTCATCGTCTTCATCACAGTTTTTTTCATCCTATAAAAGCATAAAAAGTGAATTAAATATATAATTCTATACGTAAAATAATTGACTTCACATTGTTTAAACATCTTTCAGGCTATTACAGGTAGTTGTAAGAGGAAAATAATTTGAACCTTTTGAATAAAGATACAAGCGTAGGTTTACTTGATGTGCTATTGATTTACAGACTTTCAGTCAAGTAAACAGAACTGTAGTAGCTGTCAGTCAGTTACAACGTAGGACCAGGCACATATATGTGTCGGTCCAAGTTGCCACACCTCATTAGCACATGATGAACACCGGATTCACAGAAGCAGTTAACTCAATGGTGTAATATATAAAAGAAAGATTTTACATAAGGATATAGTGCAGAAAGAAAGAATTAGTTCGTAGAAAGAAAGATATGAAGCGATTTTAATCTCAGCTTAAGGGAAAATAGTGAGTGCAAACACCTACGTCATTGTCATCAATTCTGAGCTATGTTACCTAGAGTCTCCAACAATTGGTTACGATAGTCACGCGGACCGCAACCAATTAGTCTGCATCTACCAACATGGCTCAGACTAGAAGTCAGTGACTTCAGGGACTGATGCCACGTTTTGGTTTGGCCGTCCCTAACTTTCTTCCAACCATACCCAACATTAGTCAGCATTGCGCATCGTGGCAATCGGTATTCCGGCTTTGTTTTAAAAAGGGGGAATATGCACTCAAGATTATGGAGCTTATAAATCTTCTTACTCATATCAACTTCAGATAACAGTAATGTTAAACAGCTCGAAGCAATGAACAACTGTGGAAACCGGAAACTGTTTCAAGATTTACACTGGCTACTATCATCTTCAATTTTATGATCAACATACTTTCAGTGTGATGGTGATACACAGGATGTAATGCGAAAACAATAAAACAGTAAATTAGATGTGCTCAGAGCACTAAATTCTACCTATTGGTTTACAAAATCAAAGCAAGCCACACACTTGGATTCAGCCAGTGAGTATCATCTTTTACTCTTACACAGTGTTTGTGAAATGAGAACAAATACATGTTTAAGTCAAATGCCCTGGTACAGCCGAGAGTGGGGAGAGTCCGCTCTCCCTCTCGAAATGCTCTCACACGGCCACGCGTATATAGCCTCTGCCAGAGAAGTCCTACTCACTGCCTTCTCGTGGCAGGGGTGTTGTTTACGAAAATGAGAGGACGAAAAGCGAATGTCCGGCGCTTTAACCGGATTCCAAATCAATGGTACACATGGGCTCCAGTATCCTGCGGGAACGAATGGCGTATGAAACAATTTTCGGTCACCGGCTACCATGGGAATGCATCTCCTTACGATGCTCCACTGCCTTGTGGGTTAGACCTTTAGGTCAAAGGCTCGGGGTATGGCCCCCTAAGATAACCACCTGCTTCGGTCTGGGCACCCGGGCAGTATCACAGCCCACACGCAAATGATGAACTCTCTATATCTATGGAAACTACATTTCTCGCTCCGAATAACAGTCAAATGATCTAAATTATTATCATTACTGTTATTATTATTATTGTTATTGTTATTATTATTTACTACATCATTATTCACCCTCTTTTATTCCTACTCCGTCTATACTTATTTTTTCAGTTTATACAGCAGCTCGTCTTTGGTGGAAATTCGACTCTATCTAAACGTTCTCGAGTCACTGCCTGGTTGAAAATTGTATGTTACCACCGAATATGAGTACTGAAGCAGTTTTTCTGAAACCACGTGCACCATTCAAACTGGCTGTCTTCAACGTTCGCACACTTATGCAGGTCGGACAACAGATCGGGCTGGCTATGTCTTTGGAAAGTCTTAATACTGATGTTTGCTGTCTATCCGAGACCCGTATTCAAGACTCTGGTGAAGTACTACAAATTCGCTCTCCATCTGTCGCTTCGAAAAGCTTGTTTTACGTGCGTTTATCCGGGGACTCCGTGGCATCTTCGTCTGGTCTTGCTGACGTTGGTGTCGCACTAAGCGCTAGAGCTGAGGCACCACTAATCGATTGGGTCCCCATTAACAGTCGGTTATGTGCTGTTAGATTAGAAAGTTCCATCAAAGTGAGAAGAAATCGATGTGAGAAACTATGTCTTTTCGTCATCTCCGCCTATGCTCCGACAGATTGCAGCCCGGATGCAATCAAGGATGAGTTTTACCACCAGTTATCTGTTCTTCTCCAGAAAGTGCGTTCGACAGATATTGTAGTACTAGCCGGAGACTTGAATGCTCAGGTCGGGCGTCTAGGCACAGAAGAGAGTCGTTTAGGTGGCCGATGGGGACTCGTTGGTCGCAGGTCAGATAACGGGGACCGTCTACTGCAACTTTGCACAGACCACAACCTGTTTCTGGCTAGCACTAACTTTCGGCACAGTCATCGCCGATGTGCCACCTGGCGTCCTCCCTCTGCATCTCAAGCCTGGACTCAGATTGATCACATCGCGATCAGCTACCGCTGGCGTGGTTGTGTACAAGACTGCCGCTCCTTTTGGAGTACCTATCTGGACTCTGACCATGCCTTGGTCTGCGCCAATCTTGCCTTACTTTTCAGTGGCCAACGAAGCGACCGCCATCAACGGATTGATGTTAGCAAGTTGGTTGCAACTTCTGTTGCAAGTAAGTATCGAACCGAGCTAGCCTCTAGGCTAGCTAACATTCCACTGAAAAGTATAGATGAGCATTGGTTGCAATTGCATGACGCCATGAAAATGGCGGGTACAGTCAGTTGTGGGTTCGCGAAACGTCCCGCTTTTAAGCACTGGGTTTCTTCTGGTTCCTTACAACTCATTGAAGCCCGTCGGTCTACTCCGGGTGACCGTGATTTTGACCATAAACGAAGGATGTTACGTAAGGAAATCGAGAAAAACTTGCGTAAGGACCGAGAAGCCTGGTGGTCGGAGCGTGCTAATGAGCTGGAAGCAGCAGCTGTATCTGGTAATTACCGGAAGCTCTTCCAACTCATCCGAGCCACTGGCAGCAAGAATTCTGGTGTGAGCGAAACAATCTGTGGGGATGATGGGATGCCAATCACCAACATTCATCGACGTCTTGGACGATGGGCAGAATTTTTCGAAGGGCAGTTCAACTGGCCTGCTACTCCGGAAACATCGGTCAGACTGTCCTGCCCTCCATGGCCGGTGACGACTGATCCACCAAATGAGGAGGAAGTCCGCAAGGAACTCCAACTCTTGAAGCGTTACAAATCACCTGGCCCAGATGACTTACCTCCGGCTCTTTTTAAAGATGGTGGTGACTTTCTGACTAAGGAATGGACGACGTTGTTTACAAAGGTCTGGGAACTAGAGAGTGTACCAACTTCATGGAATGAGTCGATAGTTGTCCCTATCTCTAAAAAGGGTTCACGTCGTTTCTGTAACAACTATCGGGGGATAAGTCTACTTCCGATTGCGTCCAAGCTATCGGCTTCCGTCATACTTCGTAGGTTGTTCAAAACCCGAGAAAGATTGACTCGCGAGAAGCAGGCTGGGTTTCGTTCTGGTCGAGGATGTATTGATCATATCTTCACCCTCCGCCAAATGTTAGAACACCGCCATACCTTTCAAAGGCCAACAATCGTAGTGTTTCTTGACATCAGGGCTGCCTTCGATTCGGTGGATAGGACTGTTCTCTGGGATTGTCTATTGAAGAAGGGTGTGCCTGAGAAGTTTATTAACATCCTAAAAGCCCTATATAAAAACACCTCAGGCAGAGTGAGGGCATACAACCACCTCTCTCCATTGTTCCATTCGAGCAGTGGGGTTAGGCAGGGTTGCCCAATCTCACCATTCCTCTTCAACTTTGCCATCGATGACATTCTGGAAACAGCTCTGATGAATGTAAGTAATGGTGGTGTGGATCTGTTGCCTGGAGAAAGACTTCTCGACCTTGAGTATACGCATGATATTGTCTTACTGTGCGACAATGCCCAAGGCATGCAATGCGCACTTAATCAGTTGGCAATCAGTGTCCGTAGGTATGGTATGTGCTTTGCACCTTCGAAGTGCAAAGTACTTCTACAAGACTGGCAGGATTCTAATCCTGTACTCACCCTGGATGGTGAGCAGATAGACGTAGTCGAGAAGTTCGTGTATCTGGGTAGCTGTATGAGTGCTGGTGGGGGTGTGAGTGATGAGATCAATGCACGTATAATGAAAGCCAGAGCGGCTTATGCCAATCTGGGCCATCTTTGGCGCCTTCGTGATGTTAGTCTGGCTGTAAAAGGTCGGATCTACAACGCGTCGGTGAGAGCAGTTCCTCTCTATGCTTGTGAAACCTGGCCTCTCCGAGTTGAGGACGTTAGACGACTCTCTGTGTTCGATCATCGTTGTCTCCGAAGGATTGCTGACATCCAGTGGCAACACCATGTTAGTAATGTGGAGGTTCAGCATCGTGTGTTCGGGCACAGAGATGATAATGCAATTGATGTCACCATCTTGAAACACCGACTTCGGTGGCTTGGACATGTTCTCCGAATGTCGTCTCAGAGAATTCCACGTCGTGCATTATTTGCCCACTCTGGGACTGGTTGGAAGAAGCGGAGAGGTGGTCAGTATATGACATGGTGTCGTGGGATGAAAGAAAGCTGCAAAGGACTGGTTTCTGTTGGTCCTTCACGACTCCCTGGCTGGGGTCCGAGAGATGGTGTTACACAGTGGCTAGAGACGTTATCAGATATGGCTCAGAATAGAAGCCAGTGGCGATCCGCCATTTTTACCATCATTATTATTACACCACCTTACATCAATCTCTTTTTTTCTCCTTCCCCTTAAATTCTCATTGTTTTGTGTGGCGCATATATATTTGGCGTATTCTTGTACCAATATTTGTGTTCAAATAAATAAATAAATAGATCATTTCTAAGATTCGAAATTATAGGAATATTCATCTAATATTCAAGTAAGGAATGTTCTTATGAATTTTAAAACAATTAGTCCCTTTGATAAATTTCGATAATGCAATGAGAAGTTCTTATGAATGTTTTTCAAGTTATTGTACGAAATATGAAGGATATATATAACAGCCATATCTGACGTCATATGATTATAGGTCTAACAATCATTCACATATGACTACAGGGATTGTGTTGGATCATTAGGTACAAAAAAGTACTTCAGTCAGTCATAGAGTAGTCTGGTACGTAGTTCGATTTATAAAACTGATCACAAAATTTAGTAAATAACTATCGCCTAGTTGACCTTACAAATATTCAGTCAGTTAGTCAATCAGTCGCAATGTAAGACCTGGTATGTATGCACATCGGTTCAAGTTGCCATACCGCATTAACACAAATCGATTAAGTTATCAGGTCAAATCCATGAACAGTACAGGTGGTAAAAGTATCAGTGGTAGCGGGAAAAATTAAGCATCGAAGACACGACTCGAGAAAATATAAATTAGCGAAATAGAAAAAATGTTATGCACGATTTAGAATCTCAGAATTCCGGAGAAGACAAAGAATGGATTTACGTTCCCGATTGCATAAGATTTTCGGCCATGTCATTCAAAGTCTCTAACCATTGGTTACTGTAACCAAGTAGACGCCGACCAAGTAGTCTAGATCTATTAGCGCTTTTATAGACTGATGCCATATTTTTGGTTTGGCCGCCCATAGCTTTTTTAAACCTAGTCCCGCACCAAATAACATCCCCCGTCGAGGTAGATAGTGGTTAGTCATACGTAAAACGTGTCCCAACCACCTCAGTTGATGATGTACTAACTCGTTAATCGATTTCCCATCTTTACCTAGTGATCTACTGCTAACCCAGACACTATTTACTCAGTGGTCCCAAAATACAAAAGCAAAGACACCTATGATAGAATACCAATAGCCTATGAACATCGTCTACTCTTAATGGAAATGCTGCACAACCATAAAGTAGGACGGAACAAGCTACTGCATGGTAAAGTCGTCCTTCGGTTGATAGATGGATATCTTGCCTGCGCCGTAAGTGATGCAAGTTAACGAAAGCCAAATGAGCCTTCCGAATTCGTGCAGAGACTTCGTCAGACACCAGATCATCAATACTGATGAGACTCACAAGACAATTAAAGCGGTCGATGCATTCAACTGCTTCACTCCCTATCATTAATTCAGGCGATGACTCAAGTCAATCCTGAAGTAACACTTTACATTTGGATGGAGAGAACCGCATTCTAAACACGATTGCATTGCTGCTTAAGATGAACAGAAGAGTGCATTTCGTCAGCATCTTCGCCAAACAAAACTATATTATCTGCGTATTCCAAGTCAACGAGTAAATCTCGTGTTAGATCAATCCCTGAAAAGTAATTAATGCCTTTCCATTTTATTTTGACTGCATACAATGACCATCTTTTTTTCTCCGAAGGTCGAAAGTTTAATCCCTTGATCCTCGGGCTGAGGAACATAACCTCTACAATGTTGCCTGCTTTAATCCACCCAAAAATTATCTTAATTCAGTTATGATGAACGTATAATGATGTAATTCACCACATACACAAAGACAAGAATTTTTCAATAGACTATTTATGTTATTATATTTAACACCATGATAAGGGAAGACAAGAAAGCTAACTTTCGGAGTCATCCACCTTAGGCCGGAATCACATAGGAAAGTTGAGGGGATCCCATCAGATAATTGTAATCAACGGCTAGATACCAATTTTTAGCTCAAAATACATCGTACCAGCGAAAATGTATTCAACTTTAATGATCACAAACATTATTATCTTATTGTGTGAATTCTACTCCCTCTCATCATCTACATTATTCGACTACTGTTGGCAGCATTACATTAACCGCTTGTTTTAGCTATCTTAGTCTTCTGTGTTGGATGGGGACATTTGCGCCACGTTTTGTTATACATTTATCTTCATGGTTAACTTATAACTTCCCAAGAGGAGGCATTTACTTAAAAGAATTTCGAAAAGAAACTAAAATTATAATAAAAGATATATATGATGGCATAACATTTCTGAGTCTACAAAATCGATTGTTTCAGAGGCTACAGAGAAAATAAAACGATTTACACCCAGTAAAAGTGAAGTTTTTTGTTTGTCTAAACTCTGGATAATTATCTCGACATAAGATTATCAAAATCTAGATGATAAAATGCCTACAAGCATGAACGCAATGGCAGTAAAAAATAGTTAGCACTACGAATAAGGAGTTAAGCATCGAATCCCTAGCCTGATGCGACACAGTTAAGAATCTTGAGTTGTAACTTAGTACTCAAGGTCCATATATAAACCTAATCAGTTTCGAGCATATGGTGTTTCGAATGAAGTCAACATCCTAATTATCACAAAACTATCGGTACGTTTTTCCTTTGCATATGCAGATCCCTCACATATTATGAAGCTGTTAACAACTAAAGACGGAAGAGCATTTAAAATACACTTCTTGATAAAAACAGTTCATTTGCTGAACTTCGAGCGATTAAACCAATTGTGTTGTACATAATCCTAGATCACGGTTAAACACTAATTCTACTTACCTGATCAAAAGACGAAGATTTATTAGAAATCTCAAGGGTTGGATCATCATGCAATAAGTCAAGTAATTCCTGTTCAAGATCTTCACTACTGAAGTCGATATCACCAATATTGTCAGGATTGAAAGTAGTATCCTTTGCCTCAATTTTCTTAGATTTCCACTGCATTACGAAATATGGATTCAAAGAATTTTCCGCCAATTATAAGCAATCTGATTTAACTTATTGCTGAAGGATAGAATGTAAACCACAAAATCTTTTATTGGTTGTTTTAAATGTGAAGAATATGGAAGTAGCACGGTTTCAGTTCAAAGTAATGATCTGCATAACAAATAGGAAAGAATCTTTAAAAACTTAATTTTCAGTAATGAGCATCAACCAGTCACAATACCAAGCAAGCAATGTCTTTTACTTCGAGATCTCTTGTATAATCGGCGTCACGTTCAGAGTACTTCTAGACAAATTTCCAAATATAACAATTGTAGAGAAACAGCAACTGTATGACGTAGCTCTAACATTCACATTACATCGCACAAATCAGTAAAACGTTAGTAACCTAATTATTTCGACAATTTATTGACTGAGGAGGGATAATAATGATATTCAATAAACATGACAATACATATTGTGCACAAGATAACGAAGCAACGAAGTTAATGAGACGTGATGAATTCAAGTAATGAAAGTTAGATAACCCGTTTCTGCCATAGCATGTCTCACCAACGCCGGTTAAGGCAGTTCACGATTCATAACAATTTAATTACGGGTTTGTGTTCCGTTAATCTTAGTTTACTTTGGACAACTGGGCAGTGTTACTAGCACTCATACAGTCTCACCGTTAAAACAAGCTTCAACTTCGTTAGCCATGTAAAAGGGAACCTTCTTATAGTGACTATGGGACAATTAGATAGACGAAAACCCTCTAAAATCTAACGCCCAAACACGTTTGACACCAAATAGATAAGAATAGGAATGTACTGACCAGAACTACAGACGTTAGAATACACGAATACCTGGTGGCACTCCAAGCTAGTCAGTAACTTGTTTGAGTCTGGTATTTGATTATTTTAACAGTCCTATGACAAAGCTCGATTTTAAAAGCGAGTACGAAACAAACGCGCAATAAAATGTTCACGGAATTCTAGTCTGACAGAAAAATAAATAAGAATTAAGAATATCGACTGTTAAAATTACTTCCTAACTGTTTAATGGATATATTTGCCATTTCATTTGCGAGCTTTCCCAGGACTTTTACTTGAGCCGATATATTGCGATTCATCTCCAGTACTCAGCCTAGTTAGACAAAACAATAACGGACAAATGAAAGATTATTCTCAAGCCTTGACCGTAAATCCAAGAGAAATTAGTATGAATTTCACACCTAAAAATGAGTTAACTCTACGACAGATCAACTGCAACATTTCAACGACTATGAGCGAAGTAGCTGAATATGGAAATTCTTTCAGTAAATGGAATTACATCCGTTATGGTTGATTTTTAAGCACATAACCTCATTACAAACATGCAGATCTATTGAGGATTAGCTTATAATATTAAATTCCTGGAAATTCCGAAATTATCTAGAGAATTCCAACGCAATATCTAAGATCCGATTATTTACCAGAGCATGAGTACTGAACAGCTGATTAATCTGGGCTACAGCAATACGAGGCGTGACTCTAGAAAGTTCTAAGCGACATCCATGATTAAATTAAACAGAAGTTTTGAAACTCTCTTATTCAACCAGTATGGACACGATGACTGACCTAAAATCTCCAGGTTTCTGAAACCTTGTTAGTAAGATGGCGAGAGTTTAATGGCCAGCTAGTAATTAAATATTTCTGTTGCAATCTCCCTACATGAATTAATAAACACATATCATACCCCTACATTTGCACTTATAACATTGGATGTCATCAAATGTAACGCACATATGAAATTGTGCACTCCAACTCAGCTTAACCTTCATTACCATAAACATTATCGTAATTTTTCTTTGATTGGGTAAGTATGGTAGTGAGTTTGCCAAAGAACAATAAAACTTCTGAGGTTCGTTTCTTACGTGTCACCAGAGATGTATTCGATTACTCTTTTAATGTATTCAGGGATAAGTAACGTGACCTGAACTATGCCACGCGATCAAATTCTTTGGGTAGTTCGAGTGCTTCTGGACGTAATGGAAAAAGCCTTCGCTTGACAGGCTTCCATATCTAGCAGCAGTGGACCATCGAGGCCTAAAAATTGGAACATAGATTTAACGGTAAAATATTAGATTATGTTGAAACTATAGTGTCACGTTCTCGCCTGAACGACTCATGAAAAGTCGTTCGAACCACTACTACTACTCGTAAATAGTAAAAGGTGTGCCTGTTGTCCGTTCTGTTTTTTTGTAACTCGAATTTCTGGGTAATATCCTTACGGTTTGCATAGAGACTGAGCCTAAGCAGGTGTTTCATGGGATGGCTAGGAGTGTTAAGGATTCTCTAAGTCATTAAGTTTCAGTTTCAGTTTGGGAAGGACAGGAGACCTGATGGCCTGTGTTAGTCCTGGCAATGGTGGTCCCTCAGTTGATCCAACCAACCACGTGCTGAGGTAATGAGTTCTATTCGTTGATGATTCGATGGGAAAGTCCATGGTCAGCTGACAAGTAATTTGTTCTTGGCTTATGAACTTTTTTGGAGTGTCCTCGTAAATTCTCTGTTTTGGAAGACAAGAAAAATGAAGGCATATCAGGTGCGAATTTGGCACTAAACAATTTGAAAACTGTAATCTAGTCGCCTCTAGTTCTGCGATATGACAACGGGAAAAGGTTCAGCTTGGCCAGTCGAGCTTCATACGGAAGCTTCGCTATTCTGAGAATCAGCTTAGTTGCAGTTCTCTGAACCTTTTCCAGAAGCTCACTGTCTTTTTTTAAGCAGGGGCTAGCCGCTTGTATGCAGTACTCAAGTTTGGGACGAACGAACACTGCATACAAAGTCAAAAACATCTTAGCGTCGACATGACTAAAAGCCCAAAGTATTGACCATAACGTTCTAAAACCTTTGGCGGCTATTGCACGGCAGTGTGCAGTAGTCTTTAAGTCTTGATTAACGATGACTCCCAAGTCATTATATTTCTGGACGACAGGTAGTTAAGTGTTATTCATCGTGTATGTATCTGTACCTTGATGACAGATATGCATCACGACACACTTGGAAGTACTTAACGGCAACTGCCAGGTTTGAGACCATTCAGATAATTTCTTCAGGTCATTTTGGAGTTCTAAGCTATCACCCCCACATCGTATCGTTCTCCATATCTTGACATCGTCAGCATATAGCAAGACCGATGATGATAGGAGACAAGGAAGGTCGTTTACATACAAGAGGAATAGCACTGGCCCCAAAACTGTACCCTGGGGGACTTCACTAAGCACAGTTTCCCAGCTAGATAACTTTGAGTTCACCCGTACTCTTTGTTGACGCCCAACTAAGGAGTCTTTTATCCACATCAATAGATTGCCTCCAATCCCGACATTTCTTAACTTATATAACAGCCGGTTGTGCGGAACTTTGTCAAAGGCTTTGCTGAAATCAATGAAGGCTACGTCTACAGGTAAATTTTGGTCCTCAAGAGCACACGAGCTTTCACGAGCCACTACTATTCTGAAACCGTGCTGCTTCTCCGAAAGTATCTGGTTTTCATCGAGGTACTTAAACAACTCCTTCCGAATAATCTTTTCTAAGATTTTAACAACCACGATGCGGTAATTCTCAGGTTTGTGTTTCGTACCTGTTTTGAAGACAGGACTTATTATGGCGTTTTTCCAGTCTTTCGGTAAACGACCCTGCGTTACGGGTAGGTTAAAGCATATACTTAAAGGGTTCGCAACGAAGTTAGATAATTCCTTCAGTAGCCTAGGATGTAGTTCATCGGGCCCCGTGGATTTACCTATGTCAAGCTTATTTAGTAGACCAAAGACATCGAGTTCTTTAATGGTCACGCCATCCAGTGTATGTGTGGGAGGATCTGTATGCGCTGATGGGAAGGGTGCTTCTATGGTGTATACATTGCTAAAGTAGTTTGGGAACACGTGAGCCTTACCAAAGTCGTCCTCCACTAGTGACGCGACAGTACTGTCTCCCCATAGAGCAGGAATATTTCCTCTTCTCTTTGTCTTTTGGTTTATTTAAGAATATAAGCGTTTAGGATATTCTATGGATTCCTTAACAAGTTTTTCTTCGTACAACTTTCTAGACTTACGGAGGGTCGAGGCACAGGTATTCCGGACTTTTCTATGCTGGGATTTAGTTTCATAAGTCCCCAGTAACCTAAATCTATCCCACATTTTTCTTCTCTTACGGAGAAGGATGCGGACCACCCTACTGAACCATGGTGGGGAGTTTCTCGGTCCCCTTGGTATAGTCCAAGGGATGTGGGGTGTAGTAACTTCTAAGTATGAATTTCGGAATGCGTCCGAGGCCGTTTCAATTGAGGACTCTGGGTCTATTGTCCAATCTGCTGACGATGCTGAGTGCACGATATCTGGTATATTTGCTTTCCAGACGTTGGGTCTGGACTGGACTGACGCGTCCTCATGACTGGCAGTTATATGGAAGTCGATAATTAAAACTGCGTGATCCCTTTTACCTAGGGGTGGCGTATAATGAAGGTTCACAACGTCATCCACATAATGAGTGAGTATCAGATCTAGTAAGGATGATTCAGTGTCCGGGTCGTACCTAGTCGCTTCTTTCACATGCGCACTAAAGCACATGTGATAACCGCATCAACTAGTTCCTGCTCGAAGGAATTTTCTGACGATTCAGTTCGCAGATTTTCCCAGTCTACCATAGGTGTATTAAAGTCCCCTAGGATTAGACATCGACCACCTTGTGACCAAGTATTGAGACTGCTTAGCAAGACTTCATTTACCTCACAGCTTGGACTGCGATAGGCCAAACCAATCAGCAGCTCTTGTCCCTTGCATTTCAAGCGGAGACTAACTAATTCACACGTCCCACTCTCATAGGATACACTGTCAATAATGGCAAATGGGATAGCCAGTTCTGGGATGTCTGTACTCTAAAGAGTAAGGATCTAGTGACTTGTGGAGTTCTTCATGAGGTCCTCGAACTGGTTTCTTGGCTCGCCTTTGGATATGTCCCAATGTATTCCTATCCTTTAAGAGTTAGGGAATAAACACTACATTTCCATACCCTAGGTAAAGTCAAACAAAACCGGTGAAGATTAAGGAGGGAGCTCTATTTTCGAACCGGCTTAAAATGCACCTCAGTGCTATCAGTGCAAGGTTTGCTCGGAAATGCACTTTGTTCTCAGTTAATGTAAGACATTCGATCATGTAGAATTACGGGTGAAGCTCTCGATAATGCAGTTTGTGTGTAACGGTTGAGTCGTTTGAAAATACTGTTATGCCAGAAGTTCGGCGGCATAACTGTCGTTGCAGGGTGAGCCACTAGGAACTAGCATCTGGAAAACTCTGGTATTCACTTGCTTAAGAGAAGGGGTATGACAAAATTAGCCCATCCGATCAGTACTAAGTTCATCAATTAGTCTTACATGATACTGAGAGATACCTTCTGTTATTATCTTTGTGCATTAGTAACTTGCTTGTTCAAACCGCCTAAATGTGATTTCTTCACAAGTCCGTTCATATTCCACCCATTACTATCTTTTGGATCTTAGCGTTAGAAGACTGAGATTTTTCAAAACTCTACGTTGCTTGTATTGTAACACGTGGGATCATGAGCAGCAAGAAATCCCAGAGAGCGTCCACGTTGAAGTGAGAGTGAACTTCTTGGTCCAACTACAGTAAATCATTTTGTCGAGGTAATTTAAAGCCCATTTAGAAAGTTTCATCCATGAAAATCCCTCCACACACACTATATAATGTATTCCCGTTGATTTCTTCAGATATACGTTTTGCTGATCGTTTGATTCTATTTAAGATGGTACTATTTGTATTTTACCTTAGTACTTAAGTTTCTTATGTCTTTGTTTAATTTCCATGTTTTTACTTAACTATATGCTGTTTTTAATGATATATAGTTATGGTGGTTGCCGCACCGATTCACTTCCCTTCTTCATGATGTTGCTTGCTTTGACTGGAATTGTGCATTTCTCATGATCAATAAAAGCACTATCCCCGAATCAGGAACACTCCGTGTTGTGACGAATTCAAATATCATATTTCGAAAAGTCTGTATGTAATCTATGCAGAGAAGATAGAATAAAATTTACTGGTTGCAAATGGCAATTCTCTTATATCCTCGATCAATTTAAATATTTAATGTGATTTAGATTCGACTGCTGGTTAAACAATCATTGACTGGGTCACTGGGTAGTGTAGGTATTGGTGCGTATTTAAATTTACAATGAAATTTAGAACCATCATTTAGCAAATTACTTCATTTTGGTTATCGATGAAACTTGAAGCTATGACGGCGTGACCACTTGTTCTCAGGGGAGCCAGAATCAAAAGGTTGTCAATTTAGAATTCCTCTTTTGTCAAAGTATAATCTAAATTTAATAGTGTTTAATAGTATTACCGGCTCTTGTTCAGTGATTTGTGATACCCATTTCCTTCAGATATTCCTATCAGATAAGTTCTACTAGCAATACTAAGTCCACGTGACTCACCCATTTCGTTCGCTAAATTAGTTAAGTTCGTTAATAGGTAGTTGTTTATAGGATGACTTGGAGTTTCCTATCAACGCTCTCTACGCATTTCCGATCTTAGAGCTAATGAACCTCAACTGTCCAGAGAATGTAGGGGTAAACACATTCAAGCGTTTCATAATACACCTGATGAGTCTCTCCCAATGTTATTCACAGACTACAGTTATTAGATCAGTATGATGTCATGCACAAAACAAATGAGGACATATAAGAGCTATATGTGCATTCAAAGAAAAATCGTGCTCCGTCATCTGATCAGCAAGTCAG